TCCCTGCCGACCCTCTGCCTGTTTTGGAAGGTGTTGTGGCATTGGGCAAGTCCATGGGGTTGGAGGTGAGTGACAGAGATGTGGAAGAGTTGGTGGAGGACCACAAGGAAGAGCTAACCACTGACGAACTGCAAGAGTTTCAACTGGAACAGCATCAGGCCACAGCCGAGGAACTTGCTTCAGAGGAGGAGGAAAAGAGAGTGAAGGAGGTTCCTTCTTCAGTGATTAAGGGCATGTGTGGAATGTGGAATGAGTTGCAAAGTTTTGTTGAAAAGTATCACCCTGACCAAGCTGAAACAAGCCATATCTGCAATATGTACAATGACAGTGTTGTGTCCCACTTCTGGGAAATCTTAAAGAAATGCCAGAAAAAGACCTCTCTGGACAGATATTTTGTGTGACAGGGGTCCAGTGACTCTCAAGTTGTTCCCAGTGGCATTAAAAGAAGAAGGGAAGTAACCCCAGATAAGGACTTGCTACCTAAAGTCCTAATGGAAGGAGATTCTCCTTCCAAACAATAGTGTACACCTTCCTCCTATCCCCTCCTCCCGTCTTCCATCCACCCAGAAGTCTTCAGGAAAGGTAAGTGTAATGTTATTATTATTTTTTATATGCATGTACTTGATTTCTCATTGATTTCAGTATATAAATCCTTATTTAATTTGAAAAAAAATATTTTATTTTAATATTTTTGGGTGTCTGGAACGGATTAATTTTATTTCCATTATTTCTTATGGGGAAAACGGTTTCGAGTTTCGCGAATTTCGACTTTTGGCAGGCTCTCTGGAACGGATTAATCACGAAACTCGGGGGTCCACTGTACACGTATAATAATAATGTACTATATAATAATAATTATAATAAAAGACTGCTTCTAAAGGCTGTCATTAGATAGCAGTGATTACTAGAGTATATATCAGGTTTCTATGTTATTTATATTGTTTATTATGTTATATTAGATGAATTATGATAGATAAATAAGCCATACAGTTGATATTAGCAAAATATTCAAGGAGTATTTTGTCCTGTCTCCAGACAAACTCTTGCCCTCCGCCGATGCTGCTGATACCACTATGTAGCCACATACGTAATGACATATTTTATTCATTCTAGAGTATATATCAGGTTTGTGTGTTATTTATATTGTTTATTATGTCATATTAGATGAATTGTGATAGATAAATAAGCCATATAGATGATATTAGTGAAATATTGAAGTATCTTGTCGTGCCTTCTTAGAGCCGGAATGGATTAATTGCATTTCAGTTAATTTAAATGAGGAAAACTGACTCTGCAAACGAGCAAATCCAAGTGCGAGAGACTGCACAAGAATGTTTGTTTATTTCTGGATGGTTCTATTGGTTTAACCCTTTCAGGGTCTGTGTCGTAGATCTACAGCTATGAAGCCAGGGTCCAAGCCATAGATCTACGCCAAAATTCTAAAGACTTCAAATTTAGTGCGAGAAGGCTGGTAGGCCTACATCTAAGAGAATGGGTTTGCATGGTCAGTGTGCGAAGTAAATAAAAAATCGGGGCACCTGCATTGCGTTGTGGGAATGCAGTCTCGGTACACTTTGTTCATCATGCCTGGCAGCAAGGAAGCTCTCACTCACTGGTGAATTCTGACTTTCCTCTTCCCAAGTTATAGTTCTAACACTAATGGAAGTGGATCTAAAGAGGAATTCTATGGTTTTGAATCATATGGTACAATGGTACCATATTGTACAATGGTACCATATGGTACAATGGTACCTTATGGTACAATGGTACCATATGGTACAGGGTACAGGGACCCTAATGGAAATAAGTCACTTTGACTTTTTTGGGTTATCCTAGGTACTCCACACATATGTTGCTATGTACGATAATCTACGTAACTGTATTTGTGTATACCTGAATAAACTTACGACGCCACATGCACTCGGGTAAGTTTATTCAGGTATACACAAATACAGCTACATAGATTATTATACATAGCAGCTTATGTGAAAAGATTCTAGGATAATCCAAAAAAGTCAAAGTGACTTACTTCCATTAGGGTTCCTGTATCCTGTACCATATGGTACAATGTACCATATTGTACCCTATACCATATGCAATTCCAAGGGGACTGAGTACATCCCCCCGGCCCTACACCTGGAATAGACAGTGAAAGTGACAATGATGTGGCTACAATTGGGATGCACAGACCACGAGCATACAGCATGCGGCAGCAGCCCAAACCGGGAGTGAGTTTGGGACCCCAGCCGCTGACTCAGCAGTTCCAGGACAAAGCACATTGTCATCCACCGTGGAAAGAGACGACTGTGGCTGAAATGTATTTGTTTTTTGCAACAATAATGCTTATGCCTCATGTCTATAAGCATAATATAAAATCATACTGGTCCACAGACGAGTATGACACCACTGTGCATGACACCTTGTTTCAAAGACTTTCACAGACTGTTGCAGTTCTAGGAACATGTCCAGTGATGGTACATATGTAAATATGTAATAGAACATTACTAATATGCAACATTTTTGTAAGTTTTTTGTTGTAAATAATTATTGTAAACAAATACATAATGATGAAAATATTAGTGCGGTTATTGTGTTGAATACGAGTATACATATATATATATATTATGCATTATACTGGTCTCACAGGCCACAAACATTACTGGAAAAAGCAAAATTAGAAAAGAAAAAAGGAACAAAACAGTAAAATTAAAAATGTGAATTTACAGAAGTTGCAGACCCAGTCATTGAGGGTTAATTTCATGCGTCTATATCTTGGAAACTACTGATCAGATGTTTTTTTTGTTTTATTACCTCTAGAAAAATATTATCTTTAATTCTGTAAGATTTTTTTTTTTTTTTTTTTTCAAAAATTCTTGGACCTTGGCTGTCACTCTTGAGATTTGGCCTCTGGACCCTGAAAGGGTTAAAATGTGCTGTTGGCTGTGTAATATAAAGTTTAGTGAAGAAAGTGCATTTGCTGACCCATAGCCACCCACCCAGGACCAACACTGTCACACCAACCTTCTCCATGTGCTGACTCACAGCCACCCACCCAGGACCAACACTGTCACACCAACCTTCTCCATGTGCTGACCCACAGCCACCCACCCAGGACCAACACTGTCACATCAACCTTCTCCATGTGCTGACTCACAGCCACCCACCCAGGACCAACACTGTCACACCCAGGGCTGGATTACCGCATAGGCAAACTAGGCATTTGCCTAGGGCCCCGCGCATTTGGGGGCCCCACGGTCCAAGGCTTAGTGGAATTTGTAAGCTCACTTTGCAATGATGAAGCTTTTGAAATGTTTGAAGAGAAAGCTAAACTGCTGGTGAAAGACTACAGTTACTGGGCTGATCATCAGCGGTCAAGGAAGAGGAAACGCAATTTTGAAGAGCCAGACAATGAAATTGTGTTGCTACCAAGGCAGATATGTAAGACAGCTACATACTTTGTCATTCTGGATTCACTGATTACAGAATTGGTGAAAAGAAAAGAAATCTACCAGAATCTCAATGACAAGTTTGGATTTCTGTTCAAAATTACTACTATACCAGATGTAGAATTGAGAGAAGCTGCATTCAAGTTGCAACAACACCTTTCAGCAGATGTTCAGGACACATTTGTTGAAGAAATAGTTCATTTTTCTGGGTATATGAATCAGATTAAAGCTCCACCTGAAAAATGTGTGCCCTCAGCTGCTTTGAAACATTTAAGAAATGCAGGTATCTCAGAAACCTTCCCTAATGTTGACATAGTGTATCGCCTTTACCTAACACTTCCAGCTACTAACTGTGAAGGAGAACGTTCATTTTCTGTTTTGAAAAGAGTGAAAAACCAGCTCCGTTCAACAATGAGCCAAGACAAATTGTGTAACCTAGCCTTGTTGACCATTGAGTCTGATCTAACAAGAAATATTGATTTTCAGAATATAATTGATGATTTTGCCAATATGAAATCCAGAAAAAAGTTTATTTAAGAAGTGCCTGTGAATATAAACAATTCTTTACTTTCTTGAGTTTATATGATTTGATAGTCTTATGCATGATGCAATGATAACAATAATGGTCAGTGATTTGTAAAGGGAATAATAGTGCTGTAGTGGTTATGCTGAATATAATAGGTACATGATGTCACTACTTTAATAGCCTAATCTAGTAATACTATGCTGTCTTGAGTTTATTCTCTTTAAAATGCATGATTTAACAAGATAGTTATAATGGCTGTTGGTAAATGGTTTTGGTTGTCTTGATGTACTTTCCCTATTAAATTTAATCTAAATAGCCAGAATGTATTTAATTAGACCTTAAACAGGCTCACACTGACCCCCCCCCCCAAGCTGGAAGGGGTCGCTTCGCTTACCCGTAACTCAAAGGGGCCCCGCCAATCTGAATAGCCTAGGGCCCGGAGACTTCTTAATCTGGCCCTGGCCACACCAACCTTCTCCATGTGCCGACTCACAGCCACCCACCCAGGACCAACACAGTCACACCAATCCTCTCCATATGCTGACTCACAGCCACCCACCCAGGACCAATAGGGCCACACCAACCCTCTCCATGTGCTGACCCACAACCACCCACCCAGGACCAACAAGGTCAGACCCATCTCCATGCATTTCAAGATCAACAAGTACCAATAGCCAGAATTGGGGTAAGAAAAAAAACTGCTTTACATAATCTTCCTTAGCTACATGTATTATAATTTATTAATGTACACCTCACCCCATTGAACTACAATGTAAGATATTAAAACCTTTACTATTTTGACAAAGAATATAACCCTATTATGCCCACATGTTCTTTCACTTAACACAATTTCATCTAAAAGACTGGTTTTGAGGAACTTAACCTGGGTGTTAACTGGTACTCTACTGTATATCAATAACCACTCTGTGCTTGGCAGCATGTCTTACGTCTAGTACTGTATTTATTTTTTACCTTTTTTTATTTTTAACATTGCAAATTAATTTACTGTCAAATTCATAATTACTTACATCATTCTCCAGGAGATTATGCATACCCATCTGTGCCAAATGCAGTGACTCAGCAAACTTATCCTCTGCCATTTTGATTTCATCTTCAGTGACGTGGGAACCTCCTGAAGAGCATAAGTACAGTTCATGCTAATATAACTTGTTCAACACTGCAACCCTCTATTTCTTTGCATGATGTAATAAACTTAGTACGTATAAAGGAAATCGATGCAACAGCTGAACATTAAGCATCTCTATTTAGTAAATTTTTATTAAAAATTTAAATTTCCATTTATAATGCCATTATTAAAACTGAAACTTAACTCTATAAAAAACAACAATAAAATTAAGTATAGTTTTGAACTGAGTTAACTGGATAAAACATAAGTATGTACATTATTCTGTACATGTGAACGTAAAATATCCAGTTAACAATACAGTAACTATCAAAAATTGTGGATTTGACAAAGAAAATACAACAGGCTGAGTAGTCACTGATTTTTTCTGTAGTATTTCTATACAGGTTTCCTTAAAGAAATACAAAAACAAAATAATACTGATTCTCTATGAAGCATATGAACAGGCACCAATAGAGTGAGCAACTTAAATCTAATATAAGATTCAGAATCACCTATAGCACAGTTGAATACCAGTAGTTTGGATTAGTTAGGACTAAAACCAATGAAATACATGCCATGCTCTCAGCACAACATCAGACCATCTCTCAACACGATCACATAAAACAAACTTTCTGTCTCTGAAATGTTTAATTCTGAATTTACGGTACTCGACTGTACTGGTATATCTAGTGGATCTCCAGCTGGTTATAGACCTAAACAGTATTGTATTTCATATCTAGTTATGCCATTTACACTATAATGAAATCAAACATTATCAATGTTATTATTAGAACTAATCTTATCATTACTATTGTTGTTGTATAAATATATGTCTTTGTGATAAATCTTTTATTAATTTATCCACAACATTTGGTCACCTTCATCACATCCCACTATATCATACATGTGTAAAACTTAGTGTCTTATGTATGTATGGTATAGTATCTCTCACCAGTTACTTGTGAAAACTGCTAATTATATGTATTATAAATATGACTATTATAGTATCTTGAAATATTAGCATGACACAGATTGTAAAAAACTCTACTGATATATAATGTAGCATAAACCATTTCATAAGAAAGATTGCAGTTGCTTCTTCTAACAGATATACGTATCATAAAACTGACAAGTTAATGAAAAATTTGTGTACTTTTCTAAATTACAATTAGGAAATGGGCTGCTGACTTACCGTTGCTTAAAGCAAAAATCCACAGCAAAACATTTATCATTTCCTCGCATATATAAGCCAACAAAAAGTTACAAGCCATGTGAGACACATTAATATAAGCTGATTTAACAAAAAAAAAAAAATTGCAGATACATGTACTGCTACTCTAAATCAATCACATGCAAAAATTTTGAGTTGCTGTCCAAAAATAAAGCATAAAATTGGATGCAAACTCAGACTCAAGAAAGTTTCTTTGAAGGTAGAAAGAAACATTATTAATACCTATACTAAATATACAGTGCAAGTGTCTCAGTAACATGATCGGCACAGAATATGCAGCTACTGTATTTGACATACAGTAAGTAAAAAGTATACAAAAAAAAAAAAAAAAAACTCCAATGCATCAACATAATATTGCAGGAGAATGATACAGTTGCTTTCAGTTTTGGAAAAATGACTGCAGCCACCAAACCTTAAAAAATGTATACAGTATATATGAAACACTAAAAATGTATTTCATAAAGGTATACTTAAGCAGATCATTTATTAATGAATTGGCATATAGAATATTCTTACTAATGTGTGTTCAGTCTTCATATTACCAAATAACTATTTTAGAGGCCAAAAGATTAGCTAATATTTACCAAAACCTTTTACTTATACTGGAAGTATATTAGATCACTATAAACTCATTTTCCATTCTTATTGGGTGGGGAGTCATTTGCCCAAAGAAGCCAGAAGAGCATCTGTTCTTCCACACACTTTCAACATTCAGTAGCATCATGGTTAATGAGAACCATCGTACTAAAGAAAATCTTCTAGAGCAAATTGTAATCTACTTTACTGACATCTGAAATACTCCTCATCAGCTGTAATAGAGAAATAACTTCATTCATCCTAACAACCTTCTAACACTTCATTCATTGCACTGTATCTTTAAGCACTGCTTCCATTCACATCAATTTCCTATTTTTATCTTAACTCTCCTCCTCATATTCTTGAGCAAACTACCTTTACCAATTTATAATTAATCATTTATTCAACATGCCCATACGATATTAAGTAATACTACACTCACTACAAAATTTTGTGAGTCATGATTTTTGTATTTCCACTAACCTACTTATGGTGTATTCCTTGCATACTCTGCTCAAACAACTGCACCATCATCTTCATACATTAAGTTTAACATACAGTACTTCATTTATTCCTATAAAATATAAAGTTTATGTTCATCTTTAATCTCATTCCTTGACCTCACAACTAACACCATCCATATATGTATACTGTACACACTGTGCCAACCCAATGGTATAAAGGTATGCAGTACCAACCCAATGGTATAAAGGTATGCAGTACCAACCCAATGGTATAAAGGTATGCAGTACCAACCCAATGGTATAAAGGTATGCGATACCAACACACTGGTATAATGGTATACAGTACCAGCATGCTGGTATAATGGTATGTGATACCAACACACTGGTATTATGATATACAGTACCAGCATGCTGGTATAATGGTATGTAGTACCAACACACTGGTATAATAGTATGTGATACCAACACACTGGTATAATGGTATACAGTACCAGCATACTGGTATAATGGTATGTGATACCACTACACTGGTATAATGGTATGTGATACCAATACACTGGTATAATGGTATGCAGTACCAATACACTGGTATAATGGTATGTGATACCAACACATTAGTATAATGGCATGTGATACCAACACACTGGTATAATGGTATGTGATACCAACATACTGGTATGTTGTACCAGTATGTTGTGATACCAACATACTGGTATAATGGTATGTGATACCAATACACTGGTATAATGGTATGTGATACCAATACACTGGTATAATGGTATGTGATACCAACATACTGGTATAATGGTATGTGATACCAACATACTGGTATAATGGTATGTGATACCAACATACTGGTATAATGGTATATGATACCAACATACTGGTATGATAGTATGTGATACCAACATACTGGTATGACAGTATGTGATACCAACATACTGGTATGTGATACCAACATACTGGTATAATGGTATGTGATACCAACATACTGGTATAATGGTATGTGATACCAACATACTGGTATAATGGTATATGATACCAACATACTGGTATGACAGTATGTGATACCAACATACTGGTATGTGATATCAACATACTGGTATAATGGTATGTGATATCAACATATTGTATACTACATTGAACAACCAGATTTTCGCTTGGCCGACTTCATGGGACTGAAAAATTACTTGGGTGGGCTAAATTGGGATGTCCTAACTATGGGTCAGGTAGGTGATCTTGGTTACCAATATGACGTTTTTCAGAGCATAGTTCTAGCTGCCCAGACAACTTTTGTCCCGAGTAGGGAAATTAGATCTAACAAAAATGATCCCAAATGGATGAACAATAGATTAAAACATCTCATTGGTCAAAAGAGAGGCATAAATAGGCGTATCAAAAGAGGGGATGGGCAGTTAAGAAATTAATATATTCAATTAAAGAGAGAAATAAAGAAAGGAATAAGAAAAGCAAAAAGAGATTATGAGGCTAAGGTCGCAAGGGATTCAAAGACTAACCCAAAAGGGTTCTTTCAAGTATACAGAAGTAAGATTAGGGACAAGACTGGCCCACTTAAGAGTAACTCTGGTCAGATCACTGACAGTGATAAGGATATGTGTGAAATTCTAAATACCTACTTCCTCTCAGTTTTCACCCAGGAAAATACTAGCGATATTCCTGAAATAATAGATTATGTAGAACAGGATGATAATAAACTATGTACTATTGCAGTAACTAGTGACATGGTCCTCAGACAAATAGAGAAACTAAAACCTAACAAATCCCCAGGTCCTGATGAACTGTTTGCAAGGGTGTTAAAGGAATGTAAAGAGGAACTTGGCATACCTTTGGCTAATCTTTTTAACATATCACTATAAACTGGCATAGTGCCTGATAAGTGGAAAATGGCAAATGTAATACCTATTTACAAGGCAGGTGACAGGTCCTTGGCTTTGAACTATAGACCAATAAGCCTTACCTCCATAGTGGGAAAATTTATGGAATCAATAATTGCCGAAGCAATTCGTAGCCATCTTGACAGGCACAAATTGATTAATGATTCTCAACACGGTTTTACAAAGGGGCGTTCCTGTCTTACGAATTTACTACTTTTTTCACTAAGGTGTTTGAGGAGGTAGATCATGGTAATGAATATGATATTGTGTATATGGACTTCAGTAAGGCTTTCGATAGAGTTCCACACCAGAGGCTATTGAGGAAACTTAGGGCACACGGAATAGGAGGAGAAATTTTTTCCTGGGTAGAGGCATGGCTGACAAACAGACAGCAGAGAGTTTGCATAAATGGGGAGAAATCAGAATGGGGGCACGTCACAAGCGGTGTTCCTCAGGGGTCAGTGTTGGGCCCATTGTTGTTCACAATTTACATAAATGACATAGATGAGGGAATAAATAGCGACATAAGCAAATTTGCTGATGATACCAAAATAGGCCATCTAATTCATTCTAATGAGGACATTAGAGCACTCCAGGATGATTTGAATAGACTGATGCAATGGCTGGAGAAGTGGCAGATGCAGTTTAATATTGACAAATGCAAAGTTCTAAATGTTGGACAGTTAAATAACCATGCCACATATATACTAAATAATGTAGATCTTAATACTACCGATTGCAAAAAGGATTTAGGAGTTCTGGTTAGCAGTAACCTAAAACCAAGACAACAGTGCATTAGTGTTCGCAATAAAGCTAATAGAATTCTTGGCTTCATATCTAGAAGTATATATAATAGAAGTCCTCAGGTTGTTCTTCAACTCTATATATCCTTGGTTAGGCCTCATTTAGACTATGCTGCTCAGTTCTGGTCACCATATTACAGAATGGATATAAGCTCTGGAAAACGTACAAAGGAGGATGACAAAGATGATCCCATGTATCAGAAATCTTCCCTATGAGGATAGACTGAAGGCCCTGAATCTGCACTCTCTCGAAAGGCATAGAATTAGGGGGGATATGATCGAGGTGTATAAATGGAAAACAGGAATAAATAAAGGGGATGTAAATAGTGTGCTGAAAATTTCCAGCCAAGACAGGACTCGCAGCAATGGTTTCAAGTTGGAAAAATTCAGATTCAGGAAGGATATAGGAAAGTACTGGTTTGGTAATAGAGTTGTGGATGAGTGGAACAAGCTCCCGAGTACAGTTATTGAGGCTAAAACGTTGTGTAGTTTTAAAAATAGGTTAGATAAATACATGAGTGGGTGTGGGTGGGTGTGAGTTGGACCTGACTAGCTTGTGCTGCTGGGTCTGGTACAGTGCTCCATCCTTGAGTGGGGATGACCAGACTGGGTGGGTCATTGGGATAATCCGGGGGGTGGGTCATTGGTCTAATCCAGGGGGGGGACATGGACCTGCTCCGCATGGGTCAGTAGGCCTGTTGCAGTGTTCCTTCTTTCTTATGTTCTTATGTTCTTATAACTCATATTATCTGGTTCCTGCATAAAAAATAAGCTCATCAATACACTTGACAATGGTCCACTAATTCCATATATAATAATCACCTTCCACAGTCTTTCCTCTAATGATTTGATTATATTTTTTCTAATTTCTAGTGGTTACAGCACTTTCTACCTGATTTTGTAACTTTCTATTGCTCTATTACAGCTTGTAAAGAATTTTCTGGTATCCCTCTGGAACTACTTTTTTCATAGTGGTATCATCCACTAGTCTAAGTAGGTCTTCGTCCAAAGGTTGAACAAGTGTTGAAGAATTCTTTGTAACAAGATCCCATTCATCACAACTGTCAGACACTGTAGCATCATGGGATCTTGTTACAAAGAATTCTTCAGCACATGTCCAACCTTTGGACGAAGACCTACTTCGACTAGTGGATGATACCACTATGACCCCGCCCCCTCCTGCTTCGCCTCACCTCACTACAGTATTCAAGCCACGTCTACGGCCCTATGCTGTACATTCTACAAGATTGATGGACTGAACACATCGACTCCAGGCTGAGGGACTGATTACCTCGAACTCCTCCTCTCCTTACGCCCTTCTACTTTGTATTGGACTGATGAAGCCACTGCGTGGCGAAACGTTTCCTGAATAAAGATTCCCACATGTTGCATAAGTGTCTCAATCTTCAACTTGTCGGTTTCTCAAACCATTCATCACAATTTTAATTGTAATATCAACACACTTCTGAATTGAATGATGGTGAATTTGTTTTCTTTCTTTAGTCACCCTGTCATGGAGGGAAGGCTGTCAAGGTAAAAAACAAAAATAAATAAAATACTGAATTTTTTACTTATTTAAATTATCTATCTTGTGAAAAAAATTTTTTACTTATTTAAATTATCTTTTTTTTTTTTTAATATAAAACAAATATTTAAAAAAAAAAAAAACTGTTGATATGAGCAGAGTTGTTCACCTAAAAATAAAGAAAATTAAGTACTGAAAGCATCTGTAACATTAGGTAATATAAAACTAAAATGAAACATACAGTCGCCAGGTAAGTATCACCTTCAAAAATTTTGCAATTTCCTCATGTCATCAAATTCTGAATATAGTAAATCTTGAAACACTTACTGAAAAACCTAATAAGCTTTCTATCGAGAAATCTTATTTATCAAATGTATGAAGAACTAAATATCTATCTCAGTTCCCACTACAAGTATATCTTTCTTGCTCTAATCAATGCTTCAAATTTTCATTAATTCACTGTATGGGGGAGGATATTAACATTTTCTACATATGGTGAGTCTGCTGTTTACACCAAAGTTGCAGATACCAGCACTTACTCATACAAAGATCTGAATACAGTACAGTACTCTTTATGTAGGAAAAGCAAAATTTCATCAAATGCAATAGCTACTTTTATACAATATCTTAAAAGCAAATTATGCTCTGCACTTATACGGCCCACATTGATGAAATCAGTACACAGGTTAACTGTGTACATCTACATGTACATACCCCCCCAGCCCGGGCTGCGAGCTGGACTACTGCTGGGCGTAGCGATAAATGCTAGAACAAACAGAAACCAATTAGTTTCCTCCTGTGGGTAACACCAATCTCTTACACCTTGTTTTCTGACATTTGATATTTGCAATTACATGGTTTTGCAAGCCACAATATTCATGTTGTCATGGTCATTATACACTTAAAATTCTCCATAAACTATTTAAATTTTCATTTCTTCAACATCTGGAATGGATTTCTAGATTTTATAATTATAAGTTTGAGAGTCTTTCTTTCATTGTTGCTGTTATAAAAGCCTTGGTGGGAGACGGCCAGTGTGTTAAAAAAAAAAAAAAAAAAACTCTAAATGGAACTGTGATACAGCAACCCAGAATGTGAGGGAGTGAACCAGGTTCATGATTTACTACCTTTCCAATCTCTCTCTCTCTCTCTCTCTCTCTCTCTCTCTCTCTCTCTTTCAGCAAGTCGTGTTGGCACAACAAACACATCACTCAAACTACCCTTCAGATCAGTAAGCGGTCTTAATAAACATTCTAGTATCATTTGTTCCCATGATAAGCCTTTAAATTATGGTGCATGCTAGCTAATATCCTAAACAGTGACCAGCCTATTTAGCTCCTTGAATTAGAAAAGTCTGACCAGATGAGAAGTGGGATAAGTAAAAAACAAATGTATGGGAAAACTGAATTTTATGGTTGGTGGCAAAGCAAATGCTCAAATATATTTTGAAGGTTGTACTGTTGATAGGAATGGAAACACTGATCCAGTACCCAGTTAACTACACAATCATGACAAATGCAAGAATGTCAAACATGGCAATAATCAGCAGAGTGCAAATGAGAGCTACACCCATAAAGGAGGGAAGAATCTCATAAAATTCTAATGACACTTTTTACACTATCAAACATTTTATGATTGGCTTCGAACACAATGCGACTCTTCTGCTTAGCAAGTAAATCAGGACTGGATTTAAATGTTGCTCAGTACAACCATTTTTTTTTTAAAATGAATTTAGACATGTGCAAGTCATGCAGAAGAAAGAGTGGGCAACATATAAAAGGAGTACTGTACAAATTTATTAACCACTTCCTCACTGTAAGAAGGATATAAAATACTGACATATTGCATTCCTACAGTAATTATCACAGGCATTAAACAAGCATCTTCAATAAACTTTACTCTTCCTTATTATAGCCATGCACCCTAAATGGCCTTGCACATCCTTGATAAGTGATTGCTAACTCATTACCATATTAGCTGCCATACTAAACATTCTCTATGCACTACTCTAACAATTCATTATAAAAAATAAAAATTGCAATACTTTAGCTGGAATAATTCACTATTAACCCACAGATTCAAGGACAAACTAACCATCAGCAGTTGTGACTTGATAATGATGCATTACAGACCAAGTTTCTTTAAGTTGTGGATTAATATTGAATTTACTTACAATAATTAAAGGTACCAATATATCCTTCACAAAAAATTCCTGTTACTACTGTATAAGTTAAGCTTAAGTAAGCATTTGATTTTGGTTTGTTATTCAAATAAATAATAGAACTTTAATTTTCCTAGAAAAATATCATGACACTCTCTCAGACAGCTTAACCAAATCCTTACTGGCAAAGCCCTGACTACTGTAACCTTCAAGTTAGTAGAACTATGTAGAAAATTTAACAATGCAGGTTCTCTTGATGAAAAATAATGACAAGTTACAATAAAAATTTCATGGAAGTGTGCCAAGTAAGAGACAATTAACAGGACCATAGCAACATTAGCTTACACAACACCAATCATACCTAGAATAATATAGGTGGATACTTACCCTTATCCTTTTTTCTCTTCTTACAATCGAAGTCTAACCTCCTTCCCTGAAGTTTCTTGCGGTGATGCTGCAAATGGTAAGGAAATTTTTTTTTACAGTAATAACAGTGAAAATACGAACAGCAGGATAAACAAAGCCAACAATTTGACTGCAGAATAAAAGTTACTTTACATGGCTGGAACACTTCAAAACTAACCCTCAAGCTGGAGAAGAAACTTGATGATATTTTGGCTTATCCTGGATTATTATCATATCATAATTTATAATGGCTCAGGATGGACCAAATTATCCTCTAGTTTCCTCTCACATCTGTGGGTAAATGTAAACATGACGGCATTCAGCAGACTAAGAGAGGAAGATTATCATAAACTTTTCATATAAAAATATTAGCCCTACACAATGTGCTTATTTCAGTACACAAGTATCTGGGTCACAGAAGTCTTCTATTCACTTCATCACTTCCCAAAAATATATATATATTACAGCTGAATTTTACAACTACAACACTAAATATGAATTTTATGACTATAAAGCATTATGATTTTCACTCAAAGAACAGTAAATACAATTATAGAACCAGAATGCTATGTAAATAATGGCAAGGAGTAAATGACACTTAGTCACAGTGGATAAAAGGATTAATGTGGATTAAGGGATAAAATTATGTAGTGGGAGGTATGACAGGTATCAGCTGGTCACAGGCAACAGGAAATTTAACTTTCAAAACTGTGGAAAATGTTTACACAGTTTCTGAATTTATTTTACTATACTGTATAATGAAAACTGTTAAATAAAGTGAGAGGTTATACAGAAAAGAGGTACGTACATACACTGACAGAAGTATATATTTAATTGTCACAGAAATTAATTTAATTCCTCCTTGTTGCTGTATATACAGTATAAAGACTGAAGAAACACACTCAAGTCTATCTGGAACGAATTTGTAGAAGGTTGGTGGGTGTGAGTTGGACCTGATTAGCTTGTGCTACTAGGTCAGTTGTCGTGTTCCTTCCTTAAGTGAATATGGCCTGCCCTGACTAGGTTGGGGCATTGGCTTAAGCCGGTAGGAGACTTGGACCTGCCTCGCATGGGCCAGTAGGCCTGCTGCAGTGTTCCTTCTTTCTTATGTTCTTATGAGAAAAGTTCATTTTCAGATTAATATGTGAACTCCTGAGCTTAGACAGGGAGCGAGGAAGACTTATTTGGGAGGCACAATACCACAGTAATTCTAGAGGATTTTAATTTTAGTCAAACTGACTGGAATTCTTTTGGAATCTAGAGTCAAATGAAAGGGTAATCCAGGATTGATTTTTAAAAATTCTGTAAATGAACCATCAAGGGAACATAACCTGCTTGATTAGGTTCTACTAAACATGGAGGCCTCTGATGATAATCTGGGGATTGAGAAGGAGACTGGAGCAAGCATTAATAAACTGGTTACATTTAACATTGAATGGAAGAATGATAGCAAGGATAATACAGTAAAGGTCCCAGATTACAATAGGCTAAGAGAATAACTGTCATGGGGTAACAAAGAGTTATCAATATACTGCCCAGAGAACATATATTCTTTATAGGGAAATAAGACTGAATAGAAATGATCAGCAATGCATGAAGAGGAAACTTAGATATTTTTTAGGAGGGAGGAGAAGAAAGGAATCTATAGGCATATCAGTAGAGGACAGTGTTATCTTGAGAACTAAGGTACTGTCTTCATAAAAGAGTTAGAAAAAGGGATAAGAAAAGTTAAACATGATTATGAAATAAAGGTTGCAATGGAATCAGACAAATTCCAAAGTTTTCTTCTAAGTGTATAGAACAAACTCTGGACAATATACTGAAAATCAGAAAGATATGTGACCAATTTTTAACAGTTATTTCCTTCAAGCCTTCATGCAAGAAGACACAAATTATATTCCAGTAATTAATTGTTATAATGGATCTGAAGAAAACAAATGATGCAATATTACAGTTACTAGGGATATGGTTATTAAACAGGTTGACTGCTTAAAGCAAAATAAATCCCTGGGCCCCAATAAACTTTCTTCAAGGGTTCTTAAAGTTTGTAAGACGAAACTTGATAAATTAGACACATGTGCAACTCTTGGGTATCTTTATTGAGGAAACGTTTCGCCACACAGTGGCTTCATCAGTCCATACATAGGAGGAACTTGAAGAACAGGAGGAGATTGAGGTAATCAGTCCCTCAACCTTGAGTCGATGTGTTCAGTCCAGCAATCTTGAGTAGAATACGGCAGATGAGCGGAGAAGCAGCTTATAAACCGTATGGCAGGAGAGGTGCAGCAGTCATAGGTGGTGTCACATTTGTTCAATGTGGAAGTAGGTTGTGCCCAAGAATTAGGCAAGTGAAGAATTCCTAAGTATTAAGATCCCAAGAAGTTGCAGTGTCTGACAGGTTTGTAGATGAATGGTTCAGAGAACCGACATGTTGATAAATTACTTAGGAATTCTTCGCTTGCCTAATTCTTGGGCACAACCTACTTCCACATTGAACAAATGTGACACTACCTATGACTGCTGCACCTCTCCTGCCATACGGTTTATAAGCTGCTTCTCCGGTGATATGCCGTATTCTATTCAAGATTGATGGACTGAACACATCGACTCAAGGTTGAGAGACTGATTACCTCATTCTCCTCCTGTTCTTCAAGTTCCTCCTATGTATGGACTGATGAAGCCACTGTGTAGCAAAACGTTTCCTCAATAAAGATACCCAAGAGTTGCACATGCGTCTAATTTATCAACATGTCGGTTCTCTGAACCATTCATCTACAAAGATGAAACTTGGTGAACCACTATTTTTTAATATAGTTATTTATGGCTAATGTAATTCCTATCTTTAAAGTAAGGAATAAGTCATTAACATCACTTAACCACTCAATAAGCATAACTTCAACAGTAGACAAGTTGAAGATTGAGACACTTATGCAACATATGGGAATCTTTATTGAAGAAATGTTTTGCCACACAGTGGCTTCATCAGTCCAATACTATCTTGTAGAATGTACTTTTTACAAGATTGACTGACTGAACACATCGACTCCAGGCTGAGGGACTGATTACCTCAAACTCCTCCTCCTCTCCTTACACCTTTCTGCATTGTATTGGACTGATGAAGTCACTGTGTGGTGAAACATTTCTTCAATAAAGATTCCCATATGTTGCATAAATGTCTCAATGTTCAACTTGTCGGTTTTAAACCACTTATCACAGTAGACAAGTTATTAGTCAATCTTAGCTGATGTAATAACAATCTTAACTGATCAGAAATTTGATTAGAGTCTCAACATGGATTCACAAGGGGTTGTTCATGCCTGACGAATTTATTGACATTCGGTAAAGCATTTGAGGCAGTGGCTCATGGTAGAGAATATATTGTTGTTTACTTAGATTTCAGTAAAACTTTTGATAGAGTACCACAAAAAAATGTTAAAAATAGTGGAAGCACAGGTAGACATGACATAGGGAAAAATGTTCTCTCATGAATAGAGGCATGGCTGCCCATGACTGACAAATAGACAACACAGTTTATACTGATGGGGATGGGATAAAATGAGAATGAGGACCAGTCAGAAGTAGCACTCCATAAGGACCAGTTTTAGGCCCCTTATTACAGCCTCTCCTCACTTAGCAACGTACTCGTTTACCGATGCCTCGGACTTATGACGGGCTCTCTGACCAGTATTCATACTGATTTTCTCTATTCTGTTTATTTCAATATACAGTACACTACTGTATAAACATTTAAAAATATACCAGAAATGTTATAAATGGTGCAAAGGTGACATTAAAACATTATTAATAATGGCTGACACAAACTCACTACCATTACAGTATGCTCCTCACTTAGCAACGAATTCGTTTAATGGCGTGGTCTTAGGAACGGAACTCCATCGTTAAGTGAGGAGAAGCTGTATTCATAATTTACATAAATGCCTTTGACAAGAGGATAAGTACTGACATGGCAAATTAAAAATAAGCCAAAATAATTGATTCAGAGGAAGATACCACTGAACTTCAGAAAGACTGAGACATTCATGTCACGGTCTAAATAGTGGCAGACGCAGTTAAATGTAGATTAATGAAAAATCTTAATCCTTGGGAGTGTAAATAGCCCTAACACTTATAATCTAAATGGTAAAGAAATTGATCACACAGAAATGTGAAAAAGACTCAAGAGTCAAGGTAGCAGAAATTTTAAGCCAAGACAGCAGTGCTTAATATGCATAGCAGATTACTTGGATTTATATAAAAAAGTGTAAGCAACAAAAGGTCCAGAGGTCATAATGCAGTACTGGTAAGGCTTCACTTGGATTATGCTGCTCAGCTCTTGTCTCCCTACTGTTGAATGGATATAAATGCATTGGAAAATATACAGAGTAGAATGACAAAATTAATCCGATATACAGAGTGTTTCACACTGAGGTAGATTAAGGGTCCTAAACCTTCACTCTCTTGAAAGATGTAGAATGAGGGGAGACATGATCAAATTATATAAGTGGAAGACATGCATAAATAAAGGAGATATAAATAGAGTACTAAGAATATCTAACCAAGAAAGACTTAAGTAATGGACTGAAATTGGATAAGTTTAGATTTAGAAAGGATGTAGGAAAGTACTGGTGAGTGAAACAAACTGTCAGGTACAGTTACTGAAGTTAAATAATTAGGTAGCATTAAATATAAGCTAGACAAATATACGAGTGAGAAGAGTTGGATTTGAATGGGACTTGCAGAGCATGGGTTAATAGGGTTATTGAAACTGAAAACTTAGCTAAAAAAAAAAAAAAGGGCAAACAAATTTTTGAGCAGTAAGGAGTTGGATCTGAGAAGGACCTACCAGTATGGGACAGTAGGCCTACTGCAGTATTCTTTCATTCTTAAGTTCTAAAGTTTTCTCTTTGTGTGTGTCCCAGTTTCTATGGACAGTATACACACTGAGTTAGTGACTGGCTCCTCCCATGCCAGTAGTGGTATAGAGGTGATTGCACAGGTATTGGACAGGGCCATATAAACTCCAAAGTGGCTTACTTTTACCAATGTCGAGGGCTGGTAATGGTCGGTGATGTATGTACAGGTATTGTACAGGCGATAGTGGTCTTGAGTGAGGTTCATCTTGTGGTTGGGGAGTTTGAGGACCACCACAGTGGCGCCATGGTGTCAACAACAAGCTTCCCCAAGGCGTTAGAAATTATAGGTAATAGTATTAGGTAGTAATAGGTGGGGGTCTAGCAGGGCAACATCATCACCCCTTTCCACATCCTTCAAGATCAACAAGCAATGACCTCTACAATACAAGGCATCAAAATTTTATTATTTTTGACAAGATAAGCACTTAAAAAAATGATCTGGCGTATTTTTGTAAGAATTCACTGTAGAGTATACAAGTACAAACAAAGGAAGGTGAGATGTGTGGGAGTATCTCAAGATGAGAGAGCACTACTATTATACCAGTTCCTGGATGCCTGGTTAACTTAGAAATTTAATTGAAGCTAAAGGTTTAGCTAACATAAAGCTAACCTTGTTCTGTATAGTGCTGTCAGAAGTGTTAGTAAAGGTAGATTCTAAACATCTGCTATCATTATCTCATTCTTTGACTAGGTTAACATTTGTCCATTTCATAAGATGATTGCCAGTGTCTTGATAACATATGAATAGTTTGTATTATGTGTTCTGCATGCATACTGGTATTATTTAACCTTTGTGACAAAAGTTCAGTGATGCTTTTCCTATGTAACAACTGCCACATCCATTGAAAAGAATGTTGTAGACTGACACTTTCTCTGCATCACAGTGGCTATGCTCGACTTTAGTAAGGTACTAGATTGGTAGTATAAGTGATGATGGCAATATTACTGAATCTTCTGGACAGTGTGTTCATGAGGTTGGCAGAAACACTACATGTTCTAATAGTGATATACCTGTCAATTTGCTTCTCTGTTTTGAGTGTGGTCACAATTTTAAGTGCTCTTTTCTTGCTGTCATGTATGAAGTAGGACAGGAAGTGGAGCTTGGAGCTGCATACTCTGAGGAAGAACCCCATCAGAACTTTAATTGTAGCATCATGGTGTAACATGTCACACCATGATGCTAGAACCAGAAGAGGGTATTGACAGGCTTCTTTCTCAGATCATACGTAGTATGTAGCCCAGAGTTGATTAGTAGGCATCTCATAAACCTTGGGTTAGGTTAGGTAAGGTTCACCAGGAAACAGGACAAGTGTTACCTGACGTGGGTCTTAGTCAGATGATAACCCACCGTTGGAACTTTTGGTCATCTGATCGAGGCCTCCTGCTGGCTTACCAGTCCACCCCTTTAAAAACTATGGTCACAGTTATAGCCATTTAGTATATGCCTTGAACTGCAACTATGTATCTGACTTTCAGAACATTTTTTCCAAGCTCCACTTCCCATACATACATACATACAGGTATTTCAGGAAAAGAGCATTTAAAACTGTAAATACACTGTACATTAAAAAAACTGATATTGGCAGTTTGGAGGGATATGTTGTATATCTTTATACATATATACTTCTAAACTGTTGTATTCTGAGTACCTCTGCAAAAACAGTGATTATGTGTGAGTGAGGTGAAAGTGTTGAATGATGATGAAAGTATTTTCTTTTAGGGGATTTTCTTTCTTTTTGGGTCACCCTGCCTCGGTGGGAGACGGCCGACTTGTTAAAAAAAAAAAAAAGTACTTTTATTCCTACTTGTAGATTTTTCATCAACCTCATCAACATGAAGTGTCCAGAAGCAAGAACATAACTTACACTACCAATTACCAGAGCCAAACATAGCCACCATGAAGCACAAAATGCAGGAGTGTACATCTTTACTTGCAATGGATGTAACACACAAGACAATTTCCAGGATACTGTAACACTGGTCAAAACACACCAGTATGTAAGTAGAACACAATACAAACAATTAACATGTTATACATCAGGACATTGATAATCACCTAATGAAATAGACAGATGCTAAACTAATTATCAAACAACAAGACAAAGATGGAAGATGTTTAGAATGCCCTTACCAGCACTTCTAACACTAATATGCAGAACCTGCATAGCTTCATGGTAGTTAAATTTTCAGGCAACACCATACTTCCAAGTTATCCCAGGGTCTAGGAGCCAACATAATTATCCAGTGTAAACCCTGTAGCATTTTCTAGCCACAAGATATTCCCATTGACTTAATGAAGGTATCCACTGTGTGGGAGAAACGTTGTTAATAAGGAAATGCAATGCGTGGGAGAAATATTGTTAAAAGGTCTCTACTGAGTGGGAGAGACACTGTCAATAATGAAGAAATCTAGTCAATGGAAGAAATGTTGTCACTAATATAAGTATCCACTACATCTTAGTGTCATTTACTCCTCCAAATGAAATTAAAAAAAAAAAGGTATAAATTTATATTGTCAATTAAAAGGATTATTCATTAGGTGGAGCAATACAAACTTACCTGAACCTCCTTAATATCTTTAGTTGCCAACTGATGCAGAGGTTCCAATACATTCATTTTCATGTTGTCATCAAGGTTGTATTTGATATCAGCGATCTGCTTCATACTCTCCCCCATTTCAACCAAGGCCGCCGCTGTCAATAATAAAAGTACAACTAGAGCATTGATGGCTAATACTTCTATTAGTGTCAGGCACATCTGGAAATGCCATGCATTAACAACGTGAAGTGTCATAAAGTATTCTTTTTTTTTTTTTGCTACAAGTTACAAAGTCATTCAACAACTCACTGTAAAGAAAGCTGGCATAAAATATACAGTTAGCAATATCTTATACAGATGGACCCAATTAGTCTAAAACTAACATTATCAAAAACACTACAATAGGAAAATAATTTGGGCCCAGTATCATAGTTGAAGAACCCTTGCAACAGCAGCAGTGATCCTGCTGCAGAGGTGCTCCACAGTCTGCCTGAAGTATTTCCTTCTTGCTTGGGAAGTGGGAGGGGATAGACAAAGGGAAAGAGTGAGTGGAAGAAAGGAAAGAGAATGAAGGTATAGATTAGGAGGAGGGAATAGAAGGGACAGAAGTGCAGGAAGTATGATGTTCTGGGCAGGAGGGATACAATGACCAGGAACCACCAAATTTCCAGAAATCAAAACTGTGACTTAACCCATTGGCTAGGTACTGTGCTCACCACCATCCAGTACCACCAACTACCAAAATATCAATATAGAGTAATCAAGATAATATATGATTTAGTATTGAAGCACATCCAATCTTTTCACTAATTCAGTGTTATGAACTACAGAAACTTATGAACTACAGAAACAACGGTCTCTCATAATTCATCTTAATTTATTAATGTGGTTTAATAAGTGATCATCAGAGAACACAGTAGCTATGTTCCTGAAAACGGCATGCAATTAAAAATGCTTGTAAACTGAAATGAAGAACATACTGGGAAAATAGGGTTATGCTTATAAGACCCCCATAAAAGCTAACCAGTTTTTTATTGGTCTTGAAATTGTAATTAACAATGAGAATAATGTAATTGTATATGGATGCAGTGATGTGTTATATTTAATAATATACTTAAAGCTACAAAATTTACACATTTTACTTCTTACCTTAAATTCTGGTTACTAGTGTATGATGTTGATTTTGATAGGAGTAGAGAGGGATGGTATGGCTCTACTAGGAGGTTGGGAATCTTTAGCTGAGGTGGTAGGCAGTGGATCTTTAGCTGATTTGGAAGGCTGTGGATTGTTAGCTCAGGTAGATGGTTGAGGTCTTGCAATAGTGTTGATGGTTGTATTGGAGCAGTGAGAAATTTTGCAATGCATCTCTTGTCTCTTACCCCGCAGTACTTTATACAGCAGATGGTACCTTGCAGTACTTTATACAACAGATGGTGCCCTACAGTATTTTGTACAGCAGATGGTACTCTGCAGTTCTTTATACAGCAGATGGTACCCTGCAGTACTTTGTACAGCAGATAAGGCATCATCAGCTGCTCTAGACCCCATATCAGAGCAGTAAATAACCATGGGCTTATACCTGATGAATTACTGCAAAGAAGCAAGCTGAAGTGATCCTCTGCTACCTTGAATCGCAGTGCATTCTTCTTTGTTGACTGATCTAAGTTCTTGCTGGCATCTTTTTACAATAAAGACTTGTCTCATCAACATTAAACACTCACTGTGGCTGGTAGCCACCCTAAGAAATAATTTCCTGTAGCTCAGCAGGGAAATTTCCTGCAGCAATGTGGCCAGTAGAAGCCCTTTCACTGAATTAAATATTATGCGACTACATAATCTGAACTTATGGAACCACCCTGTACTAAACAAGCACTCTCGTTCAGGCCAACCTTCCTCGTCACACAGTTTTATAGTACTGTAGGACCTTTTTACTTATTAAGATAAAATTAAGTGGTGCACCCTTCTTGGTTTTTGGCTCAATCCACTCACACACTCAACTTTCCATCTTATTTAGCTGTTCTGACCTATTTGTCATTCTCTTCAGGTCACAACCTGGGTTACTCAGTGCACAAGCTCATATCTTTGCCTCAATCTTCTTAACTGTGTGAATTAATGCCTCATTCAGACCATAGGCTCGTGCTATCTCCATCACACATGAGTCACTTTTAAGCTTATCTAATATATAGATTTTTCTTCAAAACACCAAGACTCTCACACTTATGCTTCTTCTTTCCAGTTCCAGGATCACTCACATTCCTTTTGGGTGCCACTGTTACTATCTATAGATGAGATGAGAAAATAAGATCAAAAGTTGATTCACTAATACAGACTGAGTATGGCACTGGACGCATATGAATAAGCATAGAGAGGGAGGTTGTGTACATTACATGGGTTTCTCTTGCAAAACAATAGAGGCCTGAGGCTTACTCTGAGGTGGAGGGAAAAGAACATGGTGCCACACTTTCCCCTACATGTACTCCACCATGTAAACTGATTTTTTATGGTGCATTCACCAAAAATATGCCATAATTTTGCAACCATGTTATAGTGAATATGTGTTAACAGATTGCCTGTTATTCACAATGTATCGTGTACTCAAAGAGTCAAACTTCTAGTGAGCTCTAAATGGAGCTAACAACATTTCAGCTTGAATACTCTTGTGTAGTGAGTGTTGTGGGCGGCACGATAGCTGCTGTGAGGGGACGACAAAACAGCTTTAACCCAGCACTCCCCCTCTCCTCCCACCCACCAAGTTGCTATCTCATCAACCACCCACACAACCATCACAGCCTCTTGTCTTCCTGCTAAGACTCCCACCACCACAATCTCTTGTCTTCTCAGTAAATCTCTCACCCACACCACCACCACCACAACCTCTTGTTTTCTCAGTTAATCTCTCTCCCACCCTCACAAACTTTGCTACATCTGTGCTCACCTCTCCTTAAGGGAGCTAGTTTCCTTTATGCTGCTGTGGGGCTCTTTAGTTCATGCAAATAGTACTGCCCTACAGGTTTAGCACTCTCCCACGAAAATAATATTTCTCTCCTACCTGCATCCACACTATCACAGTTTCTCTGTCATTCACACCCACCATCACAGCTCTGTCATCCACACCCACACCATCACAGCTCTGTCATCCACACTCACACCATCACAGCTCTGTCATTCACACCCACACTATCACAACTTCTGTCATCTACACTGTCACAGGTCTGTTTCCCTGCTCAGCATATCTCCTCCGCATAGCAAACATCATTCCACAAGTCATAATGACTCTTGTTGATATTTAGAACAGACTACATTATGAGGCAATGATAGTTAAGAGGGAAATTTATATATCTAAAAGAATCCATATTTTGTGAAGTAAGATGTTTCCTAATACACTCATAGT